ATCGTCGTTGTCGTACACCTGATATTGATTTGCATATAGGACAACATTGTATATGTGTGTCTGATTGCTGAACGATGACCTATTACCATAAATTAACACCGAATATAAGAAGAGTATGAACGGATAAACAAATATAAGTCGCACCCACGTGTGACGACAATATAGATATATTATAGAAATGATCAATTCATTCATTTATTTTTTTTTTCTTCTTATATTTGTATGTACCACAACAAAGATAGTCTAATATTGACATCGCATAAATTCGATCAATTGAATGCCAATGCAATTCTCTCTTTGACATGTGTCAAAAAAAAAACAGATAGAAGAAAAGTATAACGCGGCATCGGCATTCCTGATCTAAGGCCAAACATATATATATATACACATCTATATATATATATATGTATGTTGATGTGTATGTGAGAGTATATCACTATCACTTCTGTCTGTTTTAGATCTTTGAGAAGATGTCCTTCTTATTTATCAAACGACAACAACAACGATAACATACATATATTAATGAAAAATCTTTGTACATAGAAAAATTTCTCACAATTTTTTGACAATGTTCTTTTTATTTATTCTTATCGGTATGTATTTATTTTAGATTTTCGATTCAATCTAATTCATATATATATTTTTTTTTTATTTTTTTAGTTTCACCATTATTATCATATTCATCATTATCTGATGAATGGCATTCAAAATCTCAATGTACTCAAAAAGAATTTGCTAATCATATGGATATTAGTTGTAATTCTAATGAATTTATTCTAATTGGTTGGTCACATTATGGTACAAAAAAACCTTTAGGAATACATTCATTAATAAAATCAGAACAACAACGGTATTATTTTATTTAAATATTGTTTTCTTTTTTGTTATTAAAGTATTGTTAATACGATTAACAAATTTAGGTGTGAACCATCCGAAAGTGATTGTATTATGGATTATACACATAAAATAGCTGAACTTTGTAATGGTGTATCAAAATGTGAAGTTATTCTCACACAACAATTTATTCATAAATGTTCCGATGAAGCTACTTATTTATTTATATCTTATCAATGTATTAATAGTAAGTTTTGAAAGACAAAAAAAAAAATGTTCATTGAGTACAAAAATTATTCAACAAAGCCTTATTTTCAATATTTTTTCTTCTGTCATAAGCATTCGAAAGAATTCATATAAAGAAAATAGAAATTATTATCGATGTTGCAAAGAGAAAAACTTCAGAAAACTAAAAAATCTTAATTTTGTTTAGTCTACATATAACAATAGAATAAATCATCATCTACAAAAATAAAATATTGCTGAGATAAATGATTTTTATTAAAGGTCAAAAAATAGTTTTTCTATGGGAAATGAAAGAAAAAAAAACAACTTATGAGAGTTTCTGTAAGATTGCAATATCTCAAGTACAAAATAACTCGAATACGTCAAATGCCTTAGAAAATTCTTTACTTTATAGTTCTACGTAGTCTACAGAAAATTTTAGATGTTGAAAAAAAAAATAGTTTTCTGGTGAATTCTTTCTTGCAACGTAAAATTTCATATTTAATAAAATAAATAATATTTTATATATTTAGATTCAACTATTGTTGACGTATGCTCAAAACAAAGTATAATATCATCAAATGGTCTTAATCTTATTAGTCCATTATTTCCTAATGAATATCCAAATAATATTAATTGTACATGTAGAATTGAACCAGTAGAATTAAATAAACAATCATTATCAATCAATATTGATGTTGAGGTATAATAAAAAAAATTGTGTAGTAATCTTTGTTAATAAAAACAAAAAAAAATATTCTTAAAAAATTTTCAAAGTATTATTTTAAGTTTTCCAATCTAAGAATTTATATCTTGATGTTTTTTTTTATCGAATATCAATTAAATGTTTAATTATTTTTCTTATACAAATTAGTTTTTTTCTCATTTGTTTATTTAGAGTCTTTCGTTTAATTTACAAGATAATGATTATTTATCATCATCAAAATCATTATCTTTATCAGGCACAATTCCATTTGGTGCATCTTTATTTAATGAAAAAAATTCTCTTCATCTTACATTTACAACTGATGAAACATTAAGTCAATCAGGATTTTGGATTCGTTTACATGGTATTTATATTAATTAAAATTTTAGTTTTTGTTCAAAAAAAAAATTTTTTTTTCTCTTAAGGTTACCATCAATGTAATAATGATGAATATACACTTGGTTCGAAATGTATAAAAATCTTTCAACAAAAACAAACATGGAATAATGCACAAGAAAAATGTTTATCAATTGGTTCACATTTAATACATTTAAATGATATTGTTCAAGAAAAAAAATTAACATATTTTCTTTTAACAAATTATGAACAACAACAACAACAACAACAAACATCATTTTGGATATCTGATCAACAAGAAAATTATAATAGTAAGAAGAAAAAAAGTATATATAAAATAGAACATTTATTTATTTAAGTTCATTCATGGTGGCCATGGAGATTATCATTAAATGAAGGAAAATGTGTTTTACGTACACAAGATGGTTGGATTAAAAGACCTTGTGATGAACTACAAGCATTTATATGTGAACGAGATATTAATCGACAATCCATACCACTTACTGTTCGTTGTGGTAATGCTCAAGCACCATTATCTTCTACTATCATTATAACAACACCATCATCATCATCATCACCACCACAACCAACAACAACAATTATCACTAGTACACGACGTCCAACTGTTTCGTTTATTCAACCTCCTATTGTACATGAAGAAATTCCATCATCAATTTATAAACCACATGATTTTCTTTCATCAATTAATACTCAACAAGTCGAACCAATAATTGAAACAAAAACAAATTCAATTGATCCGAGTAGATTATATTGAAGAATTTAAAAATTAATTGAATTTGTTTTTTTTTTTTTATTTTAGATATTCTTGCATCTATATTAGGTGGTGTAGCATTAGCTATTTTTTCCGTAAATATTATTGTTTGTTATATATGTAAAAGGTATAAGATAAAAATTTTTATATATCGAAAATTTCAACTAGTTTGTTTTTGTTTAGACGTACACAAAAACCATCAAAATGTAAAACACCAATTGAATCTCAATCATCATTTACACATGAAGAATTACAACGTAGTCTTATGCAACATTTATATCATGAACAAACAAATACAATATCATCAACATCAACATCATCTTCAAAACATTCACAATCAAAATCAAATGATACATCAACAACAACAGCAGCTAATGTTAATCTTCTTCAACTATGTTCTCCACCTCATCCATCAAATTCTTCACAATCTTATATAACTCGTTCAAATGCTCCTGCAACAGCATTATGTTTTCGAAATCCACATGCTGCTGTACATAATAGTGGTGATCCAATTGATTATCATTTTTATGAAACAATACCTTCGGAAAATACAAATTATAATGTTTGTACTGCACATAGTGCTTTTAAACCTGTACTTCAATCAAATTCACATACAATTCGACCATTTCTTCCACGAACAAATATTTTTTATCATCCTCCAGGCTTGACAAAACAGTCTTTTGATACAACATCATCATCAACTACAACGACTTCTGCCGTTTTAATGCCTGTATGTTGCCATCATCATCATCATTTATCACAGTGTTCAACAGGAACATTAAGACAACATATATCTCCGCGTATAATTCCACCACCTCCACCACCAATCACTGCTGATGAACAAACATATATGGGTTCAGAAAGTATCGTATAAAACAAATGATGTTTTTTTTTTTTGTCAATATTACGGTGTTGTCAGATGATTTTAATAACAAATTAAAATTATAGATCAGAATCACTCACGAGTTGTTTTTGTTTTCTTTTATAATTGTACTTTTTTTTTTTGTTGTTGTTTTCTTTTGCTAATAATTGATCTCTTCTTTTTTTTTTTTTTTTTCTTTTGCGTTTATTCTCTATTTTTGTTACCGGTCCCATGTCCTCTGCAATAAAGATTATTAATCACTTCTTTTTTTTATTAATCACTAATGAATTTCTTATTTTAAACAATGATCATATTAGAAGAATGACATTAGAGTCATATTTTCGATGTAAGTATGACACAAACTGTAGTATTCACTACTTCCTTGATGGATCCCAAAATTTTGCACCCGATAGGCTCTAGCAGCGATGCTAGCTAAAATATTGATATGTTTATGAATATCTTTGAATTAAATATGCATGAATATTATTTTATGTTAATGATAGATAATTTTTCAACACCGGCTAGAATCGACAAAAATGCAAAGATCGAGACAAAGACTTTATGATCGATTTCTTGATATGAACATAATTAATTTTTGTCAATTATTTTTATAAAGAAATGAATCTAGTTTTGTTTTATTTATCGGTGATAAAACGAACATAAAAAGAAAAGAATAATGTTTACATGAATGAGGAAATTGTTATTGAACATACTTATCATCTTTTACATAATGGTACATTGAAGAATACTTTAAGGAGTATAAAGTGTAACACAATATTCATCACATCGAAAAACATAAAACTTAATCACTTATTTTAGAAGATTATTAACACAGTTTGTGACTAAAGTCAGTTCAATAAGTCTATTTTATATATTAATAATGATTTCTCAATTTAACTTTATTTTATATTGACTATAAATGTAAAGTTTTATTTCGATAGTAGATATTTCATGTTGATCAATTAATTTTTCTGAAAATAATTGTATTCACAAGTAAAATCAGTTATACAATGTATATTTTATCATTTTGATCGAATGTATCTTTAAGTTTTAGTATAAATATATTCTATATTTCAGGAAATACATATTTAGAGAAATACAATAATGTTTAAGGACTCTATAAAAATAAAAAATAAAATCTGGACTAAAAAAAAGAAAAGGTCCTTTGATAATATGATTCTGAAAAACTTTGACTAGATTTTGTTTTTTTCGAATAAAACATGTTGTTCATTATGATTTCTTGTTTAATGTCCATTTTGTACTAATAATTTTGGCCATTCTTCTTCATATTCTGATTGCATTGTTATATTTTCTACTCGATTAACCATAGCACCAAGGCGTGTTTGTATTTGATTATTTTGTTGATTGAATTGTTGACAAACTGTTTTAAGATCTTGAAAAATTGATAATAATTGATCGACATTGATATTTTTTGAAGTAGTTTTTAATGATGATAAACGTGCATTCCATTTATTTTCAAAACTATTGATCATTGCTTTGAGTTCCCTAATTATATAAGGAAAAGAAAATAAATCATCTAAATACTATTTCATTGAACTTACAATTCTTGTATACGAATTAATTCCTTAACACGTTGTTCAGTCAAGTAATTTTGAGGTTGTTCATTCCAAGAATCTTCAGATTGTTTGTTTGAAGCATTTTGAACAGTTTTAGGAATATGTAGGTTTCCGTTTTGTTGTGAATGATACACTAATGACCAAAAAGGTTGAACAGGACATCGTTTACCATCAATAAGAATATATTTGTCATTGAGAATTTTCGTTACAGACGAATTAGATTTAAAATCCAATCGAACAATATCAACTGGTTTTCCATCTTTATCATAAAATCGAACAATTTTTTCGAGACCTAAATAGTTATGTCTCAAGTCTTGTGCTAATTGTGCACATATTAGATTGGATGGAACTTGTAAAGCGATTAATGATTGTGTTGATGATTGAATGGAATATTGTTCATCACCAATTAGAATATAATTGTCTTGAAGAAATCGCTTAGCAATATCAACTGATTTTAAATCAATTTTAATTGCATCTATTGAATTTTGATTGTCATCTTGAAATTTAATTTGAGAGACCTTTTGGATACCAACATATTTTTCTCTCAATGTTTGTAATAAATTTTGTTCATCTTTTTTGAATGGGATATTTGAGAAAACCACTGATTGTATGCATATTTGTGTTGATAAAAAAGATTGTTGCTTCGAAGACATTGTATCTAAGAAAAATGGCTTTTGTCATAATGGTTCTCGTTTAAATACTGTTTTCAAACGAACGAAGTTACTCAATAGTAGTGTAAGAAAGTGAAAAAAATTATGAGTGATAGCATATTTCCTATATTATCAATGAAATAACGAAAATGATGTAATATTGCAGTATACTTTATTCATACGTCAGCGAAGAAAAGGAAAGAAAAAGAATTGCACCATCACTATGCTCAAACAAAATAAATTGATGTTTGTAGGTGTATTGAAATTGGACAAGCCGCGATTTCGTGTCTTATTCCGTTTGAGCCTGAAGCATACTTGGACTATGGAGTGACTGACTTTCGGGAAGGTCATTCCTAGGCACGAAATCAACTCGATACTTGTCCTTTTTTTTTCACTCGTTTCTTTTGTTTTTATTACTTCTGTTTGTTACACGTCATGATGTTTTTCTTTCACGTTCTAGAATTATGACTTTTCTTTTTTTATTACTCATGAATCACGTGTGTATTCTCACAGATCTTTTCGTTGTTGATGTTCACACATTTAGTCATTGGTTTCTTCCGAATAGATATATAGAAATAAGATTTACTTTTAATAAATATTATGTCCATGACACATATCATGATTACAAAATATTTGCATGATAGTTATCTTTATATATTGTAAGATGAATATACATGCATTTAGAAACGATGAACTTTTTTTAGAAGTTTCAATCATCCGAATAAGAATGAAATTCTTCAAATGTGATGTTACTTGTTAATAAATTTTCTTCTTATATAGCAGAAGTTGTATAAGATGGATAACAACGTTTACATGTTATTTTCACTTTTATATTTTATTTAAATATTGTCAGTTTCTATAAACAAGTACAAATCTTAATTGCTGATATTTTGGAATGATTTTATCGTCATGATTTCAGTCATTTTATTGATATAGTTTAGTATAAGAATCTAATAAATAAACAACTTATTCATTAAATATATTTTCTGTTAGTCTTTGATAAATACTGAACTCTTGATTGTATTATACATAAAAATCATCACTTGGGTTTCAGTAAACAAACTTTTCTCAAATAAAAAAAATCTTTTTTTCAAACGAAAATGTTTTATTTTAAACAAAAATATTTTTTTTTAGGGAAAAAAGAACTTTTTTTCGAACAAAACGTTTTTTTTTTAAATCAATATAGCAAGGCTCTATGATTCACAGCCAATGTTCATCCAGAAAGAAAAAAATAAAAGAAAATTCTGCAAAGTAGGAAGTGCTTACGTTCTAGTTTATGTAGTTCTTCTTCAATTTGATACACTTTTACTACCAAATCAGTAACTCGGTTGAGATACATGGTAAATTGTGTCGGAGAATCGATGGGTGAACACGTATATAATGCTTGACGAGCTTTATGTAGTTCTCTTTTCGTGTCGATTTCTTGACGTTTTACTTGTAGAAGCTCAAACCAAAACCAAATTATTAAACTTCTGTTAGTCAAGTATGGAAAAAAAACAAAAAAAACTACGAATTATTCTAACGAGCAAAGACTCTTGAAAACAACTGCCTGACAATATTTTCGAAACATTAGATAACAGACCTGCTCCATGAATAAATCTATAGCCATCGGCAAAGCTTTTAAATTAAACTCACACATTTCATTAGTTATCGTTCTTTTTATAGCTTCAACTCTGTCTTTATTTTGTATGTTCAGTCAATTGTTTTGTTTATGAATGTTCAATAAATAAATAATAGTGCTTGTTCTCTCGACGAGAAATAAAACATATCAACTTACGATATGACAACAGCAAGGACCTTCTTTCTGTGAAAAATCATCAATAGATGAATATAGCTCAGAAAACAGAGACATTTGTAAAGACTATTAACAATAATTGAGCATAAATAACACCAATTTTAATATCGAAAATGATACCAACAATGAAATCCGATAAAAGCACGAATAATGATAACGTAGAATCACTAAAGGGTGGTTCATAACTGACGTCTAAGTGAGAGACAAGAAGTATAATTTTCTAGTCATTGAGTATTCAGTGAAACTTTGTACGATGTATTTATTTGTCTTGCTTCGATTCACGAATATCAGGATTATCAAACTTAGATTTTCATATCGAATTGTACTATTCTTCAATTCAATTAGTTTTTCTCTTTATATTTAACAAGGAATTAGATTTGACTTTAACATAGATTCGATATTTTATGAGTCTTATAATCACCAAGCGAATGACAATGTCGACAAAGATTTTGAAATAATAATCAAAATATGATAATAAATTAATAGATAATGTACTAAAATATGAAGAAGTATATTTCTAATTGTTCATCAGAATCTATTCCGATTGCATAATTAATAGTTATATTCAGTTGTTTCGTAAATGCTGTTTTTATTTTGACAAACCATCATTGGTTATTTTTAAATTGTTTGATTATTGTAAACGACCATGAGTAAAATTTCTCAAACTCTGATTGAGACTAGCCAATGTGATTGGCGGTAAACGAACAGTTAATGATGGTGCCGTTCTTTGTCCAACATTGGTAGTTCTTACAATTGGTAATGGTACAAAAGATGTCGAATGATTATGTGTCATGAATGTTTCATTCGAATAAAGAAATATTTTAGTATATGTTAATCCATCAACAATACAGGCACTTAATGCTGAACGAAATAAATTCATATCAGCTATATCGTACCTAATTCGAACGATTAATTTAGTATGTTAATATGAAAAAATTACCATTCATCTGTTGTATTATCATAACATTCAACATTTGATATTGTAGTTAAACCATTAAATCCACCAATAGTAAACACAAGATCATCAAGAACCTATAATAGATTTTCATATTATATAAATAAAAGAAAAATTAATAATAATCACTTCAATAGCAAAATTGCTTCTTGGATGAAACATATCAGTAATTGGTCGCCATGTATTCATGGTTGGATTATATCGTTCACCTGTACTAAGACGTGATGTACCATTGAAACCTCCGATAGCATAGACTGATCCACGATAAGCAATTACACCTTTTGTGATGCAAAATATAAATAAACAAATAAAATAAGTGCTAATAACTAACCAACACCACTTCGACGACTACGCATTGGTTGTATCATTGTCCATTGATTTGTAATTGGATTATAGTATTCTGCCGTTTGTAAACATTCTTGTCCATCAAAACCACCACAAATGTAAACTAGATCTGCATTTAAATATATACATCTATTGAGTATGGCAAAAGTTTTATGAAATTCTTTGTTTTGCATGTAACTATGTTCAGAAACATGATAAAACGTTGATCGTTATTTTGAATAGGTACATCATTGAATGTTCCACTCAAATCATAAGATCCGATTTTCATTGTTATATTCAATTTTAATAGACTACTAACACTGAACACGTGTATCATCTTGTTGTATCTTACAAGAAAAAGGTCGCAAAAGTTCTTTTTCTTTTTTAATTGATAAGAAAAATCACTTTTAATTAAATCAATCTTAGTTAAAAATAGACTGCTCTAGGCACGGTCAAAAAAATCAAAACGTTCATCATCCCACCGATACTTCCTAAGAAATCAGTACTTATTTATCCTCAGCGTATATTCATCATTTTCAGTTGAAGTCAAGTTCTCCTTGTATTATTTTGTTAAGTTAAATTCTTTTTTTATCATCCCTTTCAATAGTCAAGAAATTTTAGTCTAGCGATTTGTATATCGAGTTCACTGTGTTTAAACGATGAATTTGATAGCAACCCAGCAAAAAATTCTTTTTTTTTAAAGCGAAACATTCAGATCAATTGGCAAAGATGTTGTTTTTCCTTTTTGTATTTGAAATGAGAATGAGTAATAATCCTTATGCTTTGAAGGTCACATTATGTCTCGGATTACTTTCAAATATTATAACCAAAATAAATGAACAATAATTATCAAAACCAAAATTCAATAATGTTCGATTTTCTCTCATTTTTCTCTCTAAGAAACAATAAGTTACTATACGTACTCAGTTTCATTAGTATATTAAAATTTTTTCAATAGCTATAAATATTTAGTTTTGAGATCTAAATAAAGCATTCAATGATGCATCTTATTAAAAGAAAAGATCAACAGTTTATCATACTCCCAAGCAGAGTTACATACGAAATAAGAAATTTTGTAAAAATTTTGCCACACTTAGCATACAAACATGACAAAAATTCAATACTATTATATATATATTACCATTAAGTGTACATGCTGATGCGTCACTTCGTTGCATATGCATTGGAGAAATAGTTGACCATTGATTAGTTTCAAATAAATATTTCTCTGCTGTATTATGTCTTACATGCCCATTAAAACCACCCATAGCATATAATAAACCATTTAAATAAGCTACACTAACATAGCATCGTCGTTCATTCATTGGTGCTATTTCATTCCATATTCGATCAGTTAAATGAAATGTACGACATGAATTATAATATTCAGTACCATCAAAACCACCAATAACATACATTTTATTACCAACTGTAATACAACCATGATACGCACGTGGTGGAACTATAAAATATAAATATTCGATTGAAGAAGATTAACACATGAGATATGAGAAACCTTGATCTAGTGATGATCAGGACCAATAATCTTTGATTTCAATCAGGAAAAATTTTGATCCTGGTTTCGCGCTTAGTAATACATATACTAGCAGAATATGTGATATCAGTTTTTAGTAATGTCAAAGAGCTCGAGATACCTTGCATCACTCGTATAATCTCTAATATCCTTTATTTTGAAAATGCATTAGTTTTTAACGTTCATTAATACTTGATCTAAGCTGCATGTTTATGTGTTCGACAACTCTATTGTTTATGAAAAAAGGATTCATTCTGTTATCAAAATTGTAAAAGGAATATTCAATCTTTTTTAAGTGTTGATCCTAGTGCTTGCCTCAATTAAAAAAGTACTTTGATTCCGATTTCAGGATCATCTTGTACATATGTACCTTGATCTGTTGAAATCACTGTCCATTTATCAGCTCGAATATCATAAGCTTCGAGCATACTTGTTGCATTACCACCTGACCATCCACCATAGGCAAAAATCATTTCATGTGCATGTCGAGGACGAATAAAAGGACAATCAATATCTGTATCCTAAATATACAAAATACATTTTTCTTTTGAACGAAAAACTAATTATAACAAAATGAATGTTTCTTCATTAATGAAAGATTTCCTTTTTCTCCTACCATTATTCCATCATTATCTAATTTATATAATAATCTGAGTGTTTCACCAATCATGGGTTTACATTCATCATTATTTTTAATATATGGATGTTGTTTTATTTTACTCGTAAATAATTGTACTGGAATCAAACCAAGTCGTAAATTACGAATCAATTGTGTGATAAACTATTAATATAGAATAAAAAAAAAAAAGTATATGACTTCTATAAACAGAAAGAATGAACAACACACTGATTTTCGTTTTTCAATATCATAATCAATCCATTGAATACATGCATCAAATAAATTTTCTTCATTACGTATATTCAAATCATCATTTGTAATAAATTCCATAAGTCTTTCAAACGAAAGTTCTAAAAAACGTTTATTTATGTTTATTATTTTAATAAAATGCTTCCTAGAATAAAATTATGATATTTATATATCTAATTTTAAAATATTTTAGAAATATTCTTACATTAAATATTCATAAGTTACATTTAATAATTTTGAATTTGAATGTAATTTAGCAAAATCATATAAATGAAAAATATTTTCATAATTTAAATTATGCATAAGATATTCACAACAATATTGAAATAAACTTGTCATTTGACATAATTTTGCTGCATCAATTATTCTACTAACATTATCTAATGTTAATATACATTCACGTGTATAAGTAAAATCAAGTAAAGATTCAAGAGCATCACATTCGATATCTAATTGTAAAAATGGATTTTCACTATGTTGCATATTAGTAAAAGCCATACGAAGATATGGACTGGATGCTTAGAGAGCAAAATTTTAAAAAATTATTTCCAATTTTTAAATAATAGTATCATTCATTTACGTACCAGCTAAAATAAATCGATGAACAGGAAATTCAAGATATTCTTCAGTCATATCTTTTTTTGTTGAAATTCTTGCATCACATAAAAGATTATTTTTTCTTAATTCATTTAATATTTGACATGCTTCATTTGTAAATGCACATGTTCTTTTTCGATCACCTGAATGTGCATTTAAATCTGTCATTGTTAATGATGGTATTTTTCCACTACTACTACTACCACTACTGCCACGAGATTCACTTTTAGATCGTGTTCGTTTTAGCATGCTCTCGATGACTAATATTACCTATCACTGTTTTCATATTGTAAAAAGGAGTAAGGAATATGTCCTTGCAGATTCTGAAAAATTTATTCGTCTCTTTCACGTTGTCGCCGAGAGAAAAAAAATTAGAAAAAAAAAAGATGAAAATGAAAAAATAATTCAAGTTTTATATTTCGAATTAGAGAAGCGCCGAGAGATTTTTATCTCGAATATTTTATAATGGAAATTTATTAGTAGTTTATTGTTTTGTTTTTCAATCGAGTTGTCTATTTTTGAATTATATGATCTATCATTAAAAAAAAGCTATTCTATATCTTGTCGACGAAACAAGAACTGCTGAATATGTCAATAAAAATATTTTTTTTTAAAACTGTATCTATGATGATGTATGATAGTTTTTCAATTAAAGAAATCAGACATGCGAGAAAAGCATATTTATTTATATGAATTTTACGATATCTAATTTAGTAATAGACCGTTTTTTTGTATATTACGACCTTTCTTTTAGTCTGATGAAATATGTTATATACTATTGACAGATAAACTCGAACAATCCATACAAGAAAAATATTGATAATTCTTCTTTTTATTTTTTACAAAAAAATGTAGAATAAAAGAAGAATATAATCTATGTAGAACCATCGTTAGTGGAATTTTTTCAAAACTAAACTATGAGATACGATATAGTTACTATTCTTATCAACGAAAATATCTAAGTATGTAGTATCTCTTTTAATCTGAGAATTATGACATACTGCCAATATGGATTCTGTAACGATACACAAACTATTCAAATGTATCACAGTGAATGTAACTTTTTCTTTGTAGAACCGAACAAATTATTACTAATTGGAAGTATAATTCAATCAACTATGTTATCATCGTTGCTTAAACTAGTTGCTAAAGGTTTAAACCGTCACTAATCACTTTGTTCTAGACTGCGATTCGACATATATTTTCTATAATTCCTATATTTTTAAAAAAGTCCTATTTGTGTCCTACATTTCAATAAAAATTTCTATTTTTCCTATATTTTATCGAAAAAACGAGAAAATTTTCGAAAAACTGTAAGTTTTGCTTTTGTTCTAGTATAATGTTCAGATGTTGAACAACATCTATAGTGTGTTGTCATATATTTTGAACAAACTCATACATTAGGATGACATTTTTAAATAGTGTTGTTCAATACTGAATGCGCTAGTGGTTTTTAGCTTTAAAGATTGGTTTTAACTGATTTTCACCTTTTATGTTTCATCAGCATGAGCTTTTCAATTGACACTATTTTTCGAAAATTGATTAACAAACACGAAAAACAATTTAAATATATCTTTAGAATTTGAAAAATTAGACTTATATTGTATTCAATTGGTATTACTTAAAAACGATTTTTTCAGTTGAAAACAAATCGAATTAAGTTAGATCTTTTCTATTTTCTTGCACGAAAAAGCTTAAGTCTTTATTAGGCGATGCCAGGCGACAACTCTCGTGGTTTAGTATTTTTGTCTAAATTGTGTGGACTGTGTTCTTTGTGATGAGATGAGGATAGAGTTTTTCATCCTGTTGTATTTGTAATATTGTAGCACTCATTAATTACTGATGTTCCTAGAAAAATGGCGTTGGTCCAGAATCAAATTCAAGAGAACAAAAGGTCCAAGAGATTTCGTAATAGAGTAATTATGACGCCTGCATGAGGATGTGTCTTTTATTAAAGAAATATTGATCTATCATTTGTGACTTTTATACAATTTTACTCTGAATTTAATTCTGTACCGAATGGTATATTAACTAACTGAGAAACTATCTTAATATTCTGGTCCCTGGCTCTTCTGAAAATGCCGAAATTGAGAAGTTGCGAAATCAAGAGAAAGTTTAACCAATTCAGCTGAAAATTTCAGGCATGATTACTGTCATTGTGTTAAACGTTTAATAAAAGTTTCACATGAATGTAACTTCAGCTTCTAATTGGGCCGAATTGTCAAGAAAAAGTTCTCGGTCTTTTAATCATGACAAATAATATTTGGGTTATTTTCGTTTTATTCTTTCAAAGTTTATGGTCTCCTTTTTTTTGATTATTCATTGATTAGTGAAAAAGGTTCTAAAACTTTAATTAAAGTTCCTAATAATATTTGATTTAACTATTCATTTCAGTAGAAATGAATCAGACAAGAATCCTGATGACGAGCCCCCTGATCTTGCTTGTTTCATTAGAAAGATATCAAGTGAAGAAGTTAACAAAATCAGAAAATTTAAGCAGAAACAATGTATAATAAATCCTATATTTTTGTCATTTTTGATCGAAAATCCTATATATTAGACAAACTTGACCCTTTAAGGATTCATATTTTTTTAAAAATTCGCAATTGGAGGCCAGCTTTGTTAGTTTCGAGCTTTACCAATAGTAGTGCTTCATAAAGTGGAAAAAAAACATATTTATAAATACCAATTTACAAGACGAAGAAGAAAAAGAGATGGAGTTTGCAATCAATAAGACGTAAGACGGAATGTTGACTCAAACTTTTTCTCTGTATTTGTTCACGAAGGAAATAATAAATGTTACTTAAAAATTCCCTGAAAATTTGAGAAGACCTCAAGGTATACATAAATCGGTAAAATATACCGCTTCGACGATGAATTAAAACATTAATAGTTCCTCAGAGTGTCATCTATTTTAAGGTGTAAATTTCAACTGTTTTGTATAAGTTTTTTTCTTATAGGCCTCTTTCTTTGTAGTTAATTTTGAATACCAGAATATAACTTTAATCATCATTCTTTCTATTTTGCTTATCAGTAGATCTGTACGTGTTTCTTCTGTTTTGGCTTTAGTATATATGTATATGTGTATGCAAGCGCCACCATAAATAATAAAATAGACGGTTTGTTCAAAATTAGTGCTTTAGAAAGTTGGCCTTGTCCTTTGATCATGTGAATTTTTTCGTATTTTTTTTACCTTGAACTGATAAATATTTTTTGAGAAGAACGTAAAAGAATCCTGTTTTTTTATTTAGAATTGAATTTTTTTTCTTGCTGTTCTTATCAGTAATCAACACTAGCAAAAAAACAGTACTCTTTGCCATTCTATTAATATACATCAGACATCCACTTATTCAAAATGGATCGAATTCAATGCCCTATTTGCTTTGAAAACTTTTCGAATGAGAGAAAACCAATGATCATATGTTCAAATGGGCATTCCATGTGTCCAGGATGTTTTAATGATATAAAATCGTCAATGAAACCAGAATGTTCTATATGTCGTGACAGTTTATTACCAGTGCCTATTGTTAATCGTGACGTGTTAAATTTAATACAAGCTGTGTTTGAATCAATGGCTGCTATACCAGTAATCAAAACAGAAGAATTAATAGTAGAATCTAAACCATTTGGATATGGTGGTAGTGCTGATGTGTTTCGTGCACAATGGAACCGACAAACTGTAGTCATAAAACGTTTACGTACCAATACAAGTGATCCAAAACAATTATCTCAATTGAAAGGAGAAATAAGTATTCATGTTGGATTACGACATCCTTGTATTATTTCTTTATATGGATATACGAGTAATGGTGATGGTAGAGAAATTGTTATGGAATATGCAGAACGTGGTTCATTAAATCAAAACTGGAAAAATGTTGATAAAACACAACTCATCAATTGGGCAATCGATATTATTGATGGTCTACAATATTTACACAGTCGAAAAATTTCGCACAGGTATTTTAGTTCATTTCTTACAATACTTTGTCGAATCAGTATCTAAATTTTCATGACAATAATTTACTCAATATTATTTTATAGTCTTAAAAAAAAAAACTAGAGGTATTGCTTTAGATAGAAACTCTAAAGTAAAAATTCTTTAGAATTTATCAGAGGCGCAGGTTTTGCCGCTGAAAAAAAATTTGTTCAAGCGTAGATGAAAATCTTAAAACAATCTCATATGAATCTGCTTCGAACTTATTACCAGTTTGTGACTTCATTATGTGTTCGATGTTGTTTTTATTAGGTTTTCTGTTGAATGCAGCCATGCTTCGTCAATAAAGACTATGAAAGCAATACGAAAGAGACCAAAATAAACCACGTTTTTGTTTGAACAATAAGAATAAAACACTTATAAAGATATATACATACTAGTTGTAGACAAAGTAAGAACTTACTCGAATATTCCTCAAACAACATATTCGTCAGGAACATCTTTTTAAAAACTACCGTGGCGTAACAGCGGCACGCGTGATGTTTCAAAGATACTATCAAAGTAGCAGCTGTTGAATTTTTAGGAAGATTTTTCATTGCGTGTATTCGTATCTGATTGGAGTATCTACAAATCCAACACGCAGAATTGTGATGAATCTTATGAATTCAATTTAACATTGCTCCTATTTCGATACTTTTTATTAATAAATAAATCACAGAAGCTGTGTACGAAGCTTAGACTTTTCTAGTTATGTTTAAGTTGAAAGTTAAATTCAATTATTGAAAATTTATTTCAACTATTCAAGTATTTCGAATAGTTGAAGAAAGGATATTCAACTATTCAATAGTTTCTACTCCCTAAGTCCTTTCGCGGCATCCACACCAACTGTGATGAATAGTTGAATATCTAAACTTCATCTATTCAAGAATTGAATACTTCAACTTCAACTATTCAGTAATTGAATAATTGAATACTTCAACTTAAGTTTTGTAGTAATGGAATAGTTGAATACTTCAACTTAAAGTTTGCAGTAATGGAATAGTTGAATACTTCAACTTCAACTATTCAATACTTGAATAGTTTAACTCAACTTTCAGTTTTGACATGTATGCTTTACTATCGTTAATATCTCAAACATATAGACAAGGCCTTAGTAGTTAGCACGCTCTGATACAGTGAACATATGCCTTAGCACTAACTCGATTTCATTCAGTTCTGAAACTCTAAAAATTTTCGAACAAACTTGTCATCTACTGGGAACTTTCTATTGAAATTTTGAAAAGAATTCATCAAAGTACTCATGAAAAAGATCCATTTTATTTAAAATCAGCATTTACTCTTCAACAGGTTACTCTTTATGTGAATAATATATCCAGTAATTATAAAATAATTTCTAACATATTTCGGCTTACAGATAGCTATGACAATGACTTTTTGAATGAGAGTGTTGGACAAAAATATTTATGCAAACATACTAGAGATAAGATCATGTCTATATCATAACTCTAGTATATATGAACCAATGGAAGTCGGATTAATGTTTGAGATCAGGATTTATTGTCGTACGCATGAAACCAAAATATCGGTTTAATATCATAACGATTTGTAGTACTTCATCAAGGACAGCTACTTTTGCAAAGAACTGATACCTTTATCAATAATAATTTATTTAGAGATCTCAAACCCGAAAATATTTTAATTGCCCAAGATAATCGTGCAAAATTATCAGATTTTGGAATGGCAAGAGTATTAGCAACAATTCAGCATAATACATCAGGCAGTGGCACACCAGTTAGTATAACTATACATATTGTCATTTCTCTTCATTTCTTTTTCTAATATAGAAATATACAGCTCCTGAATTACTTGATCCTGATACTAAGTATGGTGAAGAAGTTGATATATATAGTCTATCATTGATTCTCTATGAAATGTTTTCGGGAAAAGTAGCATTTGAAAATTTGAATTCACATCAACTTCTTACTGCTGTTTATATGCATAAAAAACGACCTGGTTTTGACTCAACATTTCCAAAAAATCTTCGAGAAAAAATTGAACTTGGATGGTCTCATGAAGCAAAAGAACGTTGTACACTCGATGATTTTCTACAAGTATTACTAGAAATGAAGAATCCATCTAAAATAATGCCTGATAAACAAACGCCAGCACTAGGAAAAACTATTCCTGTATCAATGGTTGAACAAGCCGATAATACTCAGAAGAAATCATTAGCTTATTCACCAATCATAGAAATGAAATGGACAACTCAAAGTGAACGAACACAATTGTTAATCAAAAAAATGATAAATGATATGCGCAAGTCATCAACATTTGGAAAAAGTTTTTCTGATACAGTTATCAATGCTATGTTACAAGTACCAAAGCATTTATTTGTTGATATGACTCTCTATAAGAATGTTACTAAAACAAAAGATGATGATGAATGTCTTAAATCAATTTATAATTATGCACAAGCATTGCGTGCTAGTGAAACACAAAATATGAGTTCAACAGAAATTACTGCTATTCAATTGAGTTTAATACCGTTAAATTCTGGTGATCGTGTTTTATTTCTTGGAGCTAAAGGAGGTTATATTCAAACAATAGCAGCTCAAGTAGTTGGATTTCAAGGTCAAGTATGGATATGTTCACAAGATAATCAAGGTCTTAAACATGTTGAAAATGTTCTGAAAAATCATGTACCACCTATTCTTAGACAAATTATCAAATGTGTTTTAGTTAGTAATATTCAAGATGTACATCAAGTCAAAAATGGATTAGAACAACATTTAAAATCTACTGAACAATATTTTAATACTATTCATGTTTGTGGAGCTATATCACAGGATTCGCTTGAATATTTTCAACAATTTTTACAAGTCGAAGGACAACTCTTAGCACCAATTAATATTGATGAAAACAATCAAAAGTTTACTATTTTACATAAAACACGAGATCAAACTTCAGGTCAAGTTACTTTAAATAAACGAATACTTCAAGATTGGGGAATTATATTTGGATCTGTTCTTTAACAAATTCTTCAAAAGCTTTTTCTTATAACAAATAAAACATTACTTTTCTATATTTACCTTAAATCAGGAGACAATTTTCTATACGTCACGATTATAAAAAAAGAAAAGATTTAATTCCACTTATTTCATAATATTACTACAAATAATTTAATAAAAAAGAATTTTTTTTATTTGATTTTTATATTTAAAGAAAAAATCTTCATATTTTACTAATAATCTCAGCACTTTCCTTCATTTATACAAAACGATTAATTTAATTTTAGACAAGGTGCTTAAAGAAAGTTCATGATTACTTTTCTGTTTGAAACAAAGTTAAATTCGTTCGATTGCAACAAGTGTTACTTTTTTTTTTCACAACAAATAATTATCATGACAACTTCATTTTTTTTTTGTTTTATTCAAACATGTTCAAAAATCTTTTTTTTTCATAACTCGAAGTCATTCGTATTCCTTTTAATGGAATAATGAAAACAATTTCGATCATAATCGAATAACTTAGGTCTCATTCAGATTTTTTTTTGAAAATATAAGAATTGATTTTCAAAATGATTTTTTATGTAGTAATTTTATTAGAATTTTGCATTGAAATGAGTTTATCGCTTAATATGTAATTTTTTTTTTACAATATTAAATACTCGATAGTTTCTTTTTCCTTTTATTCAAAATAATACAGGCATCACAGATAGTGATCATAATCATCAATTTGATTCTAATTATTGAACTTTTTCATTCATTTGATACTTGTATGAATAGAATATGTTGAAAGACTCTAATATTACTGTACTATGCAAAAATGAATAATGTATTTGTTTCTGAGCATTAATATATTTCTCAAATAATAACAAAAAATACACAACTTTTTTTTTTTCTCAAATGTTTGATGAACAAAGAAAAATTGTAACTAATTTATTTCCTCTGTAAAATTTTTTCATCAATTTTTCCTAATGTTGTTCGATCATTTTGTACTAATTCAACAACATTTTTAATTCCACGATGAATTTCTTGTAAAATATCTTTAATTTGTTCAAGTTTTTCTTTATCAAAACGTAATGATTCATTTGAATTAAGTATTAATGACCATTGTATTGGAGCTAATAATGTTGGATTCATACGTATTTTCATGATTAAATCTTTTATACGAATATCTAAAGGTGATTGAGATAAACTTTGTAATGAATGAAGATTTGTCCAAATTTGAATTTCTGTTGAAGTTAACTTTGGTTCATATTGACGACGACGACATTCAAATTGAATTGTAGCCTTAAAAAAAATTAAATAAATTATTTGAAATTTTTGTTTTTTATTTTTACTTTAAGAATTCGATGTGAATAGTCAAGTAATTTCGTTTGATAATGTTTCATTGTTGAACGAAATGTATCACATTGATCTTTAACAGCACGTAATTGTTGACGAATGTTTTCTAATTGTTGTTTTTGATCTTCATGTTCAATAAATTGAGATTTCATACGATCACGTAGAGCTATTAGAAAATATATTTAAAAACAAAAAAGAAACTAACTAATGTCTATTTCAGAGTCACATGACCGTAGATAATTTATGAATTGGTTTGAAACAAAAAGAAAAAAATAACTCTGACTCTGTGGATTTTCTAGAGTCGATTATAGAATTTAGTAATTTTGCTTCTTGGATTTATTATGGAATTTTTTTTTAGTGATGTTTTCATTGCATAAATTTTCAAACCCAAATAGATATGTATCATTCCTAATTTATCATTTTAAAAATGAGTCTGATGTGTACCATCAAAAATAGGAGTTAGCAGCCCTAGAACAATAACTGATAGATATTAGTGAAGCAACACAAGTTATGTACCCAGTCAGTATGTGACCGACCTACTCGTTTGGTATCAAGTTGACAAGTCAAGACTGGAAGTAGTGTATACATAGATCTAAATCGGTCAATCGAAATACACATTGAAATATATCGACATAGAAAGTCATTAATCATCAATATCATCTAGTTCTTCTTCAATCTTTTCAACATAAATGTTACTATTGTCTCATGGTGTTGGACATGACTTATGCAACTGTTTGTTTCCATCATATATGTATGTTTTTCTATTCATCGAGACTAACTCTATAGAAATCAGTGTGTAATTGATTTGACTCATAAGAAACCGATGACTTGTTTCATTCATACGTTGAGCTGCAATACTTGTACAATAAAATCATGCTATGTGAAATTGTTACCGTATACATAAATTCAACGTATAGATTTTGATGACACTCTTGATAGGAAAATAAACTGTCAAAGTAATCAGTCATGTTATGAAACAGGACGTAGTTGTTCAGATTTTGAGAAAATTTTGATGAGTAGCCTTTCGTAAAATCCTTATATTTCTTGAAAGAAAACAGCTATACACTTCAGTCTTACTATGATTGATAAAGGAAAAGTTAAGCTACGTCCCCATTATGTCACTATGGGAAAAGGATAACGTGTTTAAAGTGAATTAAGGTCGTTGTCAAAACTCATTATACATGCAAGAAGCAAAGCAACCGGATTCTTTCATAGACTTAGTATAAAAACATTCTGAAAACAGGAATTATTTCTCTTTTCTTTTGTTTTCATATTATTTAAAAAGTCCTCAAGGTTCTTTAACACGGAAATCGACATACCTTTAACACCAACAAGTGGTACAGGTAAAAGTAATTGTGGTTTAGGATTCTCTTTTTTTGCTTGTTCCCAAACAAATGCTGTCAAACCTAAATGATATTTCAATAAGAAAATAAACTTCCTTCTTCTGAAAAACAAAAACATATTATAAAAATAAACCTGGTGGTGTAGAATCAAGATATTGTTTATAATCTTGATCACTTAAATCCGTTCTTGCAAAAACTTGAACAATACCCATAGAATCTAAATGTGCTTTATTTGGATTAATTGATAGTGTAAGTAATGTTGTTGTTTGTTGTTGTGGTTGTGGTGGTTGAAGAAAATTAACAACATCGGATGCTTTTGCTTTTTTAATTAGTAATGTTCCAGGTTGTTTTTCACTAACAACAATTAACATCTAAAATAGAATTGTTATTTATTTTTAAATAAATGAAAATAAAATTTTCATTCTATATACTTGAGTACGATCATCAGCTAATGGTGAAATTCCTTCAAGTTCAATAATACAATTTGGATTGTTATTAAAACAAAGTCGATGAAGAGATTCAATACGTTTATCTTTATCTTTAACAACATCAGCTAATTTTTGATTAATAATTAAAGCAACAAGACCATCTTCATCACGAGTTTTTGGACGAACACTGTATGAATATGTCTATAGAAAAAAAACAAAAAAAGAAAGTATTTTTTGCTTTTTTTTTTCAAGCAGAAAAAGCAATAAATTAAATTTACTTTAAAGACGTGATAAGGAAGATTAGCATCAACATCATATATACCTTGATAACAAAATGTTTTACCAGTACCATAAAATACTTGTAGAATATTCCATTTAAGAAGCAATTCATCTCGTTCATCATTGAATAAACGTGGTGAAGTTAATGATGTTATTAGTATATCATCTGGACGAACTACATTAGCTGTTGAAACTGCTGCTGTAATCGGTACAGTAGCTGTAGTAGTAGGTCCGAATGGTTGTGTTAAACCTAAAAAATGATATGTTTCTGTAATTGAAAAAACACGCGTCCTATTATATATGAAATACAAACCTCCACTGAAAGCAAATGTAGGCCCTGTTGTTGTGGTCGGTGCTGTTTGAAATCCAGTTGAACCGAACATATTTGGTGCTGCAGTAGAAGTTGCTGTACCAAAGGTGAATGCAGGTGTCGTTGTAGTTGTTCCTGTGCCAAATCCAGTGAAAAGTGGTCTTGTCGCTGTTGCTGCTGCTGTAGTCGTTGATGCCGGAGTACCAAAACTGAAGGCTGGTGTCGTAGTATTAGCTGGTGTTGCAAAATTGAATGGTGTAGTGGTAGCTGTGGTAGTTGCAGCAGGAGCACCAAATAAAGGAGCTGTAGATGATGTTGTCGTAGCTGCTGGTGTACCAAATGTAAATGGATTTGCTGTCGGAGCTGTGGTTGTAGTCGTGCCTGCAGGAGTGCCGAATAGAGTGGGTCTTGTCGTAGAAGTTGTACCGAATGAAAATGCCATCTAAAATATACAAAGTAAAATCTCTATAAAGTAAATAAAATTTAGAAATCATTAAAAAAAATGCAAAGATTAATAATAAAATAACATAGGTTACAAATTTCTCGACAATAATAATAGTATGTTTACTTTCTATTAAATAATAGACTAGAGAAATATGACAAATTTAAGAATATATTTTTCTCGTTAAAATAAAATATGACACAACAAGAAAGTAAGCTGGTAGATAGACAGAGGAAACCATTCTTCTCGAAGTGAAATTTATCGTTGTTTAAATGATTGGAGTTATTGAGCAACCTGTCAGATGGTGGCGCTGGATGAGGTCGCTATGAAACTGTGTTATTCGACTTATATTGAAACATTTTGATTTTTTTTGTCATACAGTGCGCGCATCGGCGATATATTTTATTTTCTAATTTATGAACACATTCAAAATTGTGTTAGAAAAATTTTGTCATTCGATTAATAGTGATACATAATTGTATTGCATTTTATATGATAAGAAGATATTTTTATCTTGAATTTTCATGTTCTTTATGAATATCAATGTCAATTGATTTTGATTTTTATTGAGATGATAGATAAAAGTAAAACTATCTTTAATAGATAACTTATGTATAATATTTATTTGATTGAAAGTACATCAATATATGAATTATAATTTCCATGTGATGTGTACGATCATAATGATTAAGAAAATAAAAATAAAAAATAATTCTTGAATATTAAACAAAAAAGAGAATATTCAATTTTTACTTCTTTTTCATACCCTGTCAATCATTTATTATGGCAACAGTTTTCTAATTTAGTTTGAACAAATCAAGAACTCATTTTTGAAAGAATATCATTATCATCAGATAAACTTTGATGTTGAGTTTTTAGTTACATTAATAATCATACTGAATTGATTTTATTGAAGTACTTTTGTTTAAAAAAAAGATGAATTATTTATTGAAAATTATAATAATATCAACAACAAAGTTCAGATAGTACGAGTTATAACAACGAAAGTTTTATGCGATGTTTTCGTTTCACCAATTCAATCTCCAAATGATGTTATACATAATGGAGTATCACTCTATTTCAGTGGACTTTTGAATAAAATCAATATTTATTCCAAAAGTACTTTCGAAATTATCTCGATATGGCAAAGATATTTTCATTTGTTTAAAAGCTATTTCTAAAAAAAATTATGTTAAACAAACAATATGTTTGAATGAAATGAGACGAAAAACTAGATAATGATTAGCTCGAAACTCATTAACTCTTAAATGAATTAGATAAGCATAGGGCGTGACGATCTTCTTCTATGTTTTCGAAACAATATAAATCTTTTCCATCGATGTATTGAAATATGTCAAGAAAAAAAAGTTCATTTGGTAAATGTTCAATATCGGATAAACTTATGTATTGATTGATAGTCTATAAAATATTCATTAAAATCAAAAACAAACTTGCAAAATGGTTGTCTATTAAAATTTATTGAAAATATCAATTCAATTAAATTCGAATAAAAAAAAAAACAACAAATATTCACAGCCAAATTTGAAACCAATTATCACAAAAGCCAACTTGATAATTTTTGTCGGAATTTTTTAATCGAGATGTATATTTAATAAGCCATTTTTGAATATATTCTAATGAAATATCATTTGATATTTGTCCATTTATTGTAAATACAATAAGTTGTTTACAACTATCTAAAATTGAACCGATAATATTTGTTTCAATTAAACTGTCTGTTTTATATTTAATTTTCAATGAATGTATATCACTAAAAATTTTTGATAAACTATGAATATGTTCATTTTTAAGTTTAATATCATTATTGTTTCCATCAATAAATAAATGAAGAACACGTGGGAATATTAAATCTTCATCAGTATTTTCGAATAATTTAATAATACAATCAATATCAATACATAATGTACTAATATTATGAGCAGCAATAAGTAATGTTTTAAAATGTTGCCAATTATCTACTATTCCACATATAGATATTATCTCAAGTTGTTTTAATTTTGGAAGATTAATAATTGTTTGTGTATTTGTCTTAACTAGAATAAAAGTATTAAAATTAATTGTAAGAATATTTTGATTTAATAATAACGTGCGATCTGCTCTTATATTACAGAAAACATTTCTCAATTGATTCATAAATAGTTTTTAGTTAGTAGATAATTGGGGTGCACTCGAGAGCGTTGCAAAAATTTTTAATGTTTTGATTTTTAGTATAGCATGACACCAACTTGTCAGATTGAAAAAAGTTTTAAGAATATGTTTAGCTGGAAAAATGACTTGCAACAACATACATAGTTAATAATGAGAAGTGCATTTGTTCGATTTGTGCTGCACTCAGATTTCGAAACTTTTTAGGCACGTTATGTGTAATCGATGCTATGTGGGTTTTCTAATGCTAAAATTGAAGTTATAAGTTACTGTTCTATCAATTGTTTATAGCAAATCTGCTCAGTTTTAATTAGAATACTACAAATCTATAAAAGAAGCTGTTTCAGAATTGATCAGATTTAATTGAAATCGATGAGTTTTCCGATAAAGTTCGAACAGCACTGAAACATGCTTTTTTTAGACTTGATCGAATCTCATAAAAGTTTTAAATAGAAAAGTTGAAGCTGAACACAGTCGTTCTAAACTATTGATAGAACAATAGCTTCTCAATACTAAAAAAATGTTATCTTTAAGACTATAATTCAAGAACTAATGCATCTCTTATGAATGCAGACCAAAGTTTTCGAACAAATTAATTTAAATATTCGTGAAATTTATTTTTTCAGATCTTTACTCATGAATAATCGAGAAAATTTGATAATCCAATAATATTCGATGTATTACGACTAATAATGATTTCTACACAACGAGTCTTGACATGTTTAACTACTCTAAAATCACGCAGCCAGTTAAAGTTAGTGCATGAAAAAATTAATTTTAGCAATACGTAAATAATAGTGAATAGCAATAAATCTTTAATAGCTCCATATGCATTAGTCGATCTGATACTCTCAATGTAGCTGTTTTCAAAATATACAATTGCTACTCGAAGGATTACTTTCAACGGAATATCAGTGAGAAAAAGATTGGAATTTTTGACAACTTACAATTGTTATCATCAACACTGATAAACAATGTATACGGTAATAATATGCAAAAAAAAAAAGAAAAACCAATGTATAGTGATGAACAAAAGCTTAGAGCAGCTATATTTTTGTGTTTTTTTCTCAATGGCAATAGCTTACAAAAATCTAATAAAAATTTTAAAAAATCATCACATTTAATTGAATCTGAATGAAAATATTTTCAAATCTTTTTTTTTCTTTTTGTAATCCTATTTAATAGATTTAATGTATTGCTTCTACCTGGTAAATTTGTTTTATTTCTATCTATTTGAATATTTAAATCTTGTATTTTTCGACAATGTTGTATAATTGTAAATGTTTCAAGTAAAGTTTTTGCATTACATATACATAAATATTGAATATTATTATAAACTTGATCACCTAGACTAATACCAAATTTATTAGGTAATATTGAATGTAAATTAAGAAGAATAGATGGATATGGTAATGTATGAATAAGTATATAAGATTTCTTTTCATCTTTATTAATTGTATAAGCAATAGAAATTGGATTCCATGATTTTGAAAGATTTTTTGAATCAATATGATAATCAGCATATGTAGAAAAATATATAGCATATTTCAATGTTTGTATGAGATTATTGTTATTAAATAATTGAGAAGATAAAAGTGTAAATAAATGTTGACCATAGACAAGACGTTCATCTCTAGTAGTAAGAGCCAGTGAAAGTTGTTCAATAGTTGGTGTAAGTTGAAGTATTGATGAAATATTATCAAATGTTGAATAAGAATCTAAAGCATCAAGAGAAAAATGAGTAAGACATTGAAATGGTATTATATCTTTAGCAATTCCGCATAATTCTTCAATAATAACATGAAGTCGACGAATATTTGGAATAAGAATTGCAAGAGAAACTAAATCCTTAGATGTTGATAATGATATACTCATTTCTATAAGATTTGAATGAGTTATAATATTGTTTTCATTAAGTAATAATGTCATTGAATAACAATCAGGTTCAAAATAAATATATTCAATTTGAGTATTTTTATGAGTTATTTCTAATAAATGTTTTGGATCTTCACTTGAATGCGTAATTGAATTTTTATGATTTACTTGTCGTAAACCACGAATAACAATTGTACGAAGATATTTAAGTTGATTTAAATGATTTTCAAGAAATGAAAATAATTCTTCATTTTTCCAATCATCTAATGCTAATTTTTGTAAATTAGGAAATATATTATTCATATGAAAACTGAAATTTTCTAAAAAATATGTTTGTTGTAATCGATTTACTGTTAATGAAATAATATATGCACCAATTTTTGGTAAAACATTCAAATAAATATAAAGAAATTGTTTATAATCTAATCGACGAAGTATAACATGATGACAATAATCAGTTATTGTATTATTAATACGTGAATTAATATTATAAAATGAATAAAGTACATGACCACAATGAAGATATCGATATATTTCAAGAATAATTTCATCCGGAAAATATTCAAATTTTGATTTCCAAAAATTATTCATCTAAAATAAATTTTCTTTTTTTTTGTATTAAAAAAAAAAAAACTAGAAATTTTATCATTAAAAAATTTCTTCTTATAACCATAATTTAAACCATTCATTACTACATTCTACTCGAAATATGTCTAGAGATTTTATACGAAATGAACTTTGTTTAATCACCCATTGTCGAATATCATTCTCCATCATATCATTTGGAATTTTACCATAGATATGAAATATAACAAGTTGTTTAAACTCATTTATGATAGATTTTATTATATTTAATTCAATATATTCTTCTGATGTTTCATAATCTATTGTTAAATTTCTGACACGAGTAAATATTCGTGCAATAAAATGAATTTTTTCAATAGTTAATTTTGATTTTTTTGTTTGTTCATTGTTATTATTATCTGGAATACGAACACAAAGATCAAGTATATGTCGATGAAGAAGAACATATAAAATAAGTGGTTCATCTTTATTTTCAAGTAATGTAAGTAAACAATCTAAATCAATGACTAATACACATAAATTTGGTGCAGCAAGAAGTAATTCTTTTAGATGTTGTAAACCAGATGGAATACCTTCAATTGTTAGAAGTTCAAGACGGCCAAGATATGGAAGTTTTACAGGTGGTTTATTGTTATTAGCTAAAAACATGAAAATTTTTTTTTTTTTGTTATAGAAATAATTCAAGTTCAACTACAAATATCTTTAGAGAAGAATATTTGTCGATTATATTAGCTATTAAAGACTAGAAGCAACTAACGAGTATTCCAGTTGACATTTCACTAAATTTTGGAGTTTATTTCTCTTACTTTCTATTCGTAAAAAACATTTTTTTAATGCTAAAAGACAGAAAATACGAAACTCTATGAAATGGGCTCATTGGCTTGTCAATAAGTTGTCTCTGTCAGTGACAATTTTAAAAGATGAACATCCATTGCATTGATCAACTGCGACGTTCAAAAAATTCAAAATATATCAAAAGTTTTCTTTTTATAAAAGATTTTACTAGATTTTTAAGAATGCCAAAAAAACCATATATCAAAATTTACACCTTTCGATGTATGTTTTATAATATTAAGTAGAATATTTGGGATACGCAACTTGGAAATTAAAAAAGACTGAAAAAACCAAAGAAAATCGTTTATGATAGACCTGTACAATTCTTCTTTTTTTTTTTTTAATTTGTAAATAATCTTAATATGTTTACTCTTCATTTTAATAGTTACACTATTTTGTTTAATATTAAATTCTACGTATGATAGTCGAATAATAAACTTCGTTCGAGAATGACGCTTGGCTTATGAAAATATGCTTTTCTGAACTGCACCCCACACTATTGACACATGTCGGTTCTAAGCCTTTTGGCTTCTGAGCTACACATTTCCATAAACTTAGAAACGGTCGTGAAAGTATAAAGGTTGAAGTTTTTCTATTTATTAGTATGAAATAATTATTTGTAGCGACTACCTTAATGAGCAAATGTTTTCACTAATCAATAGTTTTTAAAAGAAAATAGTAAATCGCAGCTGAATGATTGTGTGTATATATATAAATCATTTCACTTTGACATTGACAACGTAAACTTGTAGGAAAAACTAAGTAGATAATTTTGTAGAGCTTCAAATTCTCTATCTTTAGATATTCAAATAATCTATTTTGATGAATAGCAAGTGACAGAAAGAAACACCAAAATTTAGTGCAATTTCATCTGAGATATCTGTTAGTTTGAATTGAATTGTGAATTAAATTTGAATGCCATCAGTTTCAATCTCGATTATAATATAAAAAAAAAAGGAATGAAATTGCTGTACCAAGTGCAACAAAGATTTGATCAGCATAGAACTGAAAATTAATTTTTTATCATTTTCTATAACTTTTAGAAATATCTGTTTGTTATACTACGACCTATTTAGTTTCTAATATTATTCTTGTTCAGTCGTGGTTCTCAATTAAGGGAATTTTTCCCAAAATGTTCAACTTTCTGCCAATTTTTTACAACTTTGTGATAAATTTAGACATAAATTGGATTGCGAAACATAATTTGCCTTTCTCTGGCAAAAAGTGAAAAAAAAAATTATGTGAGAGAAATCGGATCACGACAGGTTTTGTTCTTCACATTCCCTATTCATCGGGCATTACTTCTAGCACTTCGAAAATGAAAATATTTTCTGGCGACTTTTCAGCCTTTTTCATCTTTAAAAAATATCGACCATTCTGTGTCCAATGCTCTCTATTGTGAGACTAAAAATAGACTACCCATATCTAATCAGAACACTTGTGCGCATGTAAGATGACAGAGAAATATTCTAGAAGTTGTTCGGTCTACGTCTACTTAATCACAGTGTATTATTAAGTAGAAAAAAATCGCAATAGTAATAATGATAAGGACAAAGTTCGTTCTTCTAAGATTATGACTTTCTTCAGGTTAAATTGACAACTATAGAATGTTCGCAATTGCGTAGGCCTTTTGTGTTTTAGAATAATTGTACAATATGTAAATAGGAAATAACGTATATAAAAGTGCTATTAGGAAGTACTTGCTCTACACTTGACGATATTACTTTTTCGAACTGTCGTAGTTTAAAATATTTTCAATTTATATTAATATCACTCAATGACAAACAACATAATCAAACTCATCAGTTTAAAAGCAAATTTCTTCGATATATAACATGATTTAAAAGAGATTCATTAAAACTAACTATACCAATTGAATTACCTAAAACTTGATTAAAATTTTAAATTAGGAGAACAAAATCTACTGCATTTATTTTGAAACAAGCAGAAAACTAGAACGATTTACTCAGCAAATAAAACTAACGGATAAATCATCACCTGTTTATTGTCCCTTTATCAAAAATTAAAGGTACACAAGTTTCCGTTTAGTTTTTCAAATTTTTCTTTACAGACGAGTTTTTATTATGGATGTCCTGCTCTAATCTGTGAATAGATTATCTATTTTCGATTTTGATTTGAATAGCTCTCATAATTAACTATTGTAATATTTAATTTTTGATCTACCTGAAGATGTAAATTGTGAATTTGATATTTTGGATTCATTTTCTGTCAAAAGAGTTAGTTCACGTACACGACGACATTGTCCTATAATAGGAAATGTATCCGAAAGATTCATCATCATATATACTTGAATTTGATCAATTTTTGAATAAATTGAATGCATATCTTTATTAGGCATATTTTTAGCTAAACTCGATCTTATTGTTAAACGAGATGAAGAATATGGTAATGTATGAAGAAATATTCGTTTATCAATATCACTGATTGAATATATAACAGGAATAGATTTCCATGATGTTTTAATCATATTTATGTTAGAATAATCATAATTTTTAGATGGATAATAACAAACAGTATAATTAAACTGTTTTAATTGTGAAGGAAGTATAGAAAGAAGTTTTGTACCATTAATTAAATTAAAATCACGAGTAGATATTGTCAAAGAAAATGTTTCAATTAAAGGTACGATTTGAAGTAATGATTTAAGATCAACTAACTGTGAATACCAACGAACAGCCCATACAGAAAATTCTTTTAGAAATGGAAGTATAATATTAAAACATACTTTTCTTAATGATGAATTTTTAAATGATACATCAAGTCGATGTATATTTGGTATAAAATTAATAAGGATTGATAAATCCATTAATGTATCAAGTTGAATAGTTAACGAAAGAATATTATGAGATATAATATTATTTATAGAATGATTTATGAAATCAAATGAATCACAATCATAATCAAATGTAATATCAGTTAAGAAATTAGTTTTTATATTAAAAATTTTTTCAATAAAATCTATATTTCGTATTGATGATGAACATGATAATTCTTGAATAATAAGTTTTTGTAGATATTTCATTTCGTGTAAAGTATCAATTATGAATGATAATAAATTTTCACTTGTCCAACTTGTTAGAGTTAAATTTATTAAATTTGGAAATATATTTGATATTTGATGTTTAAATGAAGATGGAAATGATGCTTGATGTAATGGATGTAATGTTAGAGAAAGAACGGATGAGCCTATTCGAGGTAAAACATATTGATATATATAAAGTAATTGTTTATACGATGCTCGACGAAACCATACATGTCGACAATAAAATGTTATTGTTTGATTTAAACGAATATTTAAATCAAATAATGAATATAGAACATGACTACAATGAAGATATTGACAGATTTCTAAGATCATTTCATCTGGTAAGATTTCAAATGTTGTTCTTGAATAAAAATGCATCTAAAATTAATTTTTAAATTTTTTTCTGTTTACTATAATTTATATTACATTCAAATATTCAGATCTTTAGAATGTTTTTTTTTTTTTGAAAATTAACAAAGTTTAATATTATGGAGAGCAATATCTTGTTAATATATTCTTTAAATAATTGCAATACGAGTGCTAACCCTTTTTTCTATAGAATTTTTTTCTCTTAAATTCGAGCGACGTTTTCTTTTATTCTAATTATATTATGATTTTTTTTAAATATCAATAAGAAGCAATATGTCATATAAGATTTTTATATTAAAAGATTTTGACTACAATAAGGTCAACTCAAATATATTGTCAAAATACGAAAAAAATTCTATTTTCTATATTATTACGATTAATCAAGACATTGATCAGAATAAGGTAATTATATTTAATTCAGTTTCAAGCTATGCAAAATGAGAATAAAAACAATTTTTATCATATTTTTGAATTATTGACTAGACATGAATAAAGATGTAAACAATTGACTGATATAAGTCAATTCTAATTAAAAAAAAAACTATACTTTTAATATAATATTAAAGATTTTATGACGTAACAACAGAAGTCATTATGAAAGAACGAGAAGACTCAACAATGATTCATTCTTTTATGTTCGACTCAGACTGGACAATTTTCGAACAATCAATTGACAAGCGAATCTAGCGCCTTTATTATTATATAGCTCTAAGAATTATTTTTACAAGTCGAAGTCATTTTTTGCGAGAAAAATTCCTAAAATTTTTTTTTTTTTAAGAAATATTGAAAAGTCGTGTCAATTATTGCATAACAATCCAATGGAATGAGCTGATACATCAAAACAAAAGAGGTTTCGAATAATAAAATTTTTATTTAGGAATTGAGAAAAAAAAATAAACATATTTATTACTTTATCCTGAAAACAGGACGAGTACTCTTCTGTTTTTTGATGCTCATGAATTATTAAAAAGATATGTTATAGACAAAAAATGAAATTCTAATTTTAACCAGACACGATTAGAATTCTATTATTGACTAACTGTTCATCAGTCAGAATTAGATTTCCAGTTGTGCCTTGACAATATCAAAATTTGACTACAAATAAAATCATAGAATCAAGACAACTAGATTTTGCATAAAATGACTATTTTTCTATTCAAAAATATCTTTTTATTTCACCAAAGAATTTACAAGACATAATAGTTTTATCTCTTTACCGATATTTTTAGAACCATCTCTTTTCGCATAATATTTTATTGAACAAAAAAACTTTCATTGTGTTTTTTACACGAAAATTATTTTGTAATGGCATCCGCCTTAACAATCACATGTACTACTAATTAATGAATACGATCCTGACATATTTTTCTCTAGACTGTAACGCGTAAATCTAAGATTTATATCACTTATCGGCACGATTACTATGATAACAGTTTTCTATCTTTTTTTATTACGTTCTATTCTAACTTTAGTAAAGTCCATGATTATATAAATTCACTACTAGTCGAATTTTAATTTTACCTCCAACAGATATTTATTCATGATAAATAAACAAACATATACAACAAAATGAATATTTTCAAACTAACATTTTAATTAAATACGTTTTGAAATTCTTTATGATTTAAACATAATATTTTTTATTCGTTAGATCAGCATCTCATATTAATTATTCGGAATTTTTTTCTTTTTATTCAATAAATCTGTTGTTTGGTGTCATCAACTACCGTCAAAGAAAATTTTCTTCAGAATAGTAAATAAGATCTTATTGAATATACTTTTTTTTTAGTATTATTTCATCTAGATTAAAAACGATCCACCATCAATGAATTCACAGCATATTTTTTACAATTACTTAGAAAATTTTTATTTCCATCAATAAATTAGATTATTGAAAAGTAAATATCTATTTTATTTTTATTGAAACTAATATTTTATTTTATTGATTCTTTTTGTTTTTCAGAACGAATCTTCTCTCTGTAGTATTGTTCAATACGATTTGATCAGCATCTCAAGCTCTATTCAATATTGTGTTTAATAATAAATTCTGTAATTTTATATGACCTTTTTTTTGTTTTTTGTTTTAAACTAAAAACTTTTCACAAACTATAATATTGTAAGAACGTTTCCAAATTGACGTTGTGAAGTAATGTACTTATATTTCGTTATTATTGTTTGAATTCGTCATATCGTTTTTTTTTTCAAGAAAAAAAAAACGAGACTACGCAAAATAAACTAAAATATCTTGAGAACAATTCTTTCGACGAAAGTGTCGTTGGTCGTTTTAGTTACAACTATCTTTTATTCTTATTAGTTTCGGCATACTTGATTATGATGTCTATCATCATAAAGATACCATTGAAAAAATTGCGTCGATCTTTTTTTTTTGCAAGTAGATATGATATATTGAAGTTGGTATTTTTTTCTATTTTTATTCAGTGGATTCAATGACGGATATATTGACACACCTACGTTGCAATCATGCAGCATTTGTTGCTTCTATGACTTTTCTTTTCTATTTCAAACTAAAAGAGCACATGCATTTAGACGCAAATGTTTTCTATTTATGACAGTGCAAAGTACTCGTAACGCATTATATCGATATTCGAATTACGTCATTTTCTCCTATTTATTTTATCACGCGTTTCTTTCGACTTTTATCTAGTCATATGATTAATTTCGATAGATAATATTCGTTCAATGTTGTACCCATCGAACGATCTTTAACTATTTCCTTTTATGATACTTTTGAATAAAGAGAATTTTTTTTTTATTATTCATAAAATAGTAAATTGTCCCTCATAACCCCACCCCTTCTTTTTTTTTCTTTCTTTTTCTCGCTCTTTCTTGAGATGTCTCGTCGTGGCTGTCAGTTGCTTCTTATTAAGTCTATTTTTTAAGCACAAATGGTAACTAGCATAACTTTGTAACAGTAGAAAAAAGGAGGGTGTGTCGATAGAGACGAGAAAAAGAAGAAAAGCTTATAAGAAATGAAAGAGATCGAGAGAAAAAAAACGTCTGTATTCAGCCAAGGCCGTCCAAAGATCAACAACAACAAGAAGAGAGAGAGAGAGAGAGAAAAAGAGAGAAAGAACGAGAAAAGGGGAAAGAAAAAAAAAAACCTATGTTGATTCTGACGCTATTCTAATCGTCACACCCTCTAGGATGTTTTCGTAGACGGCAGAAAATATATATACATACATATATATATAAAGACTGTTCTTTCATTTGTAACTAGAATTTATATAACCTATAAGTCTTTCTTTCTAAAGAATTATTTGTATTAAAATAAAAAATATTTGAACAAATGGCTTCAAAAGCATGCAATCGACCACGTCCATGGAGTTTTGACGTAAACCCTTCGCCTGAAACAATATTTCATTTTCCATCAAGTCCCAGTGAACCAGGAAAATTCGATTTTTATCGGTAAAAAAATTAATTTATTGATTTTTTTTTCTTGTAAACTTTTTCTATTTTTTCTTCTAGAGTATATCTCGCTAATCATGCGTATTTTACGGATCAGGCATCATCTGATAATTTGAATGGTAAGTAACTAAATAGTTAAATGAATATTAAAATTTATACAGGAAAAAAAAGAAAATTTCTTTGTGATATATTCCAAATATGAAAAGAGGAAGAGTGATAAAAAAAACATGACATCATTATTTTACAAACACTTTTATAGTGTACTTCGACCTTTTTCCTTTTATGAATAATATATTGAATTACTTCTTCTATTGCGTGTCACTGAGTTTATTAGCGTTTTTAAAAGCTGTTTTTTTCCTGTTCCGATATTTTTAATTTACTTCTTATTATATTAGAATATGTTCAATAAGAAATAATAAAAACAAAAACTTTCTTTATAGAACCTACTCTTCCACTATCAACATCATCATCATCAATCGAAAAAAGACGATGGTCACCATTTGCTGGTTTCATGCCATCTGATGAATCAAAATCTTCAACAATGACGACTTCACAATCATCAAATTCAATATCTACAACTAAATCGGAAGCAATATCTTCAATGAATTCTAGTGTTTCAACAAACACTAATAGTGCACAAATAGAACTAACTCATTCTGCTCAATCATTTCCATCATTGGCTGATCTTGTTAAGAATGCTATGAACAAAGGTCATCTAGGTGCAAAATTAAATCAAACTCGACGTTCATTTACTGGAACAACATTATCGTCAAAAGATCTCAATCATTTATCTCCTCAATCAATGTAAAATTAAAAGCAATACATACACCGAATATAAACATTGAGAGCAGTATTTTTTTTTTTATTTATATGTCAGATAAATGAATATACGCTTTTTATGTCTTTCCCTACTTCTTTTATTTGTCATTCGTCTTTTGTTCTAAATATATATATTATTGTTTGTGTCGTAGTCTCTCTTGTTCTACCTCCTTCAATAATGTGACACTGCTTTCATTTGGTTATCCCCTATTTTCTTTTGTTCTTAAAATTCAGTAAATAAAAATCAATCAAGACTAATTATGAAATTTATGATTTTATACAACATTTCATAACACATCATCAAATGATATTTGCTTGGGGTTATTTCAAACTTTCTAATGATTCAATATGTAATTGCTCAAGTCATGTGATTATGTGATATTACTAATTTAGTGTAGCATTTACTTCATGTCGAAATACCTGTCATAAATCATGAGCAGAAAAAATTATTCATGATAAAAAAAGCTCGGATTTTTTTTTCGTATTAAACGCATATTATTATGACAGAAACTAATGTCGCATATTAAAAAACAAGAAAAGCAGTCACTAAATAAAATAGAATGAAGAAATGAGAAATATTTTAGGTTTCTTGTATGACCTTATTTCGTGAAGATTTCACACTGAATTTTTAGATTAGATTTTCTCAGCAGAACATAAAATATTTGACACGTTAACGGTTCATCATTAAATAAAATGAGACAAATATCTGCATGAAAATGTTTTCATTATCATGTTGCTTCGTTGAATCAAGCAATTTCATGGACTTGTGCTTCATCATGTGACATAAAAGAGAGCAAAAACAAAAACAAAAACAAACTATTCTTCGAAACAATAGAATATTCGAATTTGATTTTTTTCTTTTGTTATCAAAAATGATAATCGAATGAACATGTTTTTACAATAAAACCATGGTTGTCTATCGATATAAAACATGATGACTTCTTATACTTTGATATTTTTGAAACAAACTATTCATTTTATGTAAGTGGAATGAATAGATCATAATTTAACATTTTTCACCAAATAATTTATTATTAAAACGATTCATTTTCGAAAAGCACTTTGTCTGATAAATAAATTATTTATATAAATATGAAATTTATCATTACCGAGTTACTCAAATTGTTTTCTTTGTGATTAAAATATGTTATGTTAAAAATATTTTTCTCAAAACTATTTGTTTATTAGAAAGTTCATTATAAACTGTTTTGAGAAATGACTTGACTGAAATAGAAATGTTGATATTGATGTTGAGTTTTTCATTGTTTTCTGATTTATTTGTGAATAGCTCTTATTATTGATAAGCATACTCCATAGAATATTAAAAAATTTGATTATTCTATTTCCGTTTGTATTAATGATGTTGTTCAACGATCGTATTACTTATTTTCGTGTTTTTTTTTCCTCCATTGTTTAGAAAATATGAGAAATTCTTTTAGTGGAATATTTAATCGTTATTTCAATTATTTATCTTAAGTAAAACTTACATAGATAATGATCGTTAGTATTTCTATGTTGTGGATTGAATAAATGTTAAAGACATATTGAAATCTAATATTTAATACCTAGAAGTAGATCGTATTTTCAAAATTCAAAAACTAATTCGAGAGTTTTGTTCATTAATAACAATTTTGATCTGAAAAATTGATTATTCGGAGGACAGAATATTTTTTTTTTTGAGTTGAAAATTTGAATAACTATTTCTAATTGTTTTTGACCAAACATTAGATCACACATTGATCATTGAAATTTTTTCTTCTAAGCACTCGTTAGTATATCCAAAAATTAGTAGAAGAGTTATCATGGAAGAAAATAAAGTTCAAAAAAATGTGTCCTACTTACTTTGTTTATATCTAATCAAAAGCTGTATGAAAACAAAAGGTAGAGTCAAAATGGCTTAAATATGTGACAATGGTGTTTTATTAAGAATAATTAACTAAATATAGTTTTGCATCAATAACAATCAGTGAATGAATCATATTCATTTTTAGAGGAGAAATATTTCGAAAAATGAATTTGATCCATTCATTAAAAAATCAAATAAGATAGTAATGATATTCAATACTTCCATCAAACTTCTCATACAACAACAATGCCAAATTAAGCATGTAAAACAGAGCTTTGGGCCATCTCATCCCATTCGATGGGAATGACAAACCAAGTAATTCTATCCTATGATATTTTTATTCGATATAGAATTCTATAGTTTATCAAATTAATGTTTTTATTCTAGTATTTAATTGTGTCTTCATCTCCAACATTGTTTTTTCGACAACACTTGACTCATCTAAAAGAGGAGGATGAATGTTTAAATATTGTAGTCTTTCTTACCTTATCGTTCAGTCTCCATTTACATGAAATCAATATCTATACTATGCCAAATTGAAAATATTTATCTATTGTTATCTTTAAAATGACTTTAGTCAAGTACAACTATTGCTTTTATTAATAAATTAACTTTTCTATCACTTTGCTCAATATTCAATTTGTGAATAAGAGATCGAACATTTATGAATTTTATTAACCAGCAATCGAATAGAATCTATTCAAAATAAAATAAAAAGTATTGTCGTTACGCATGTCACGCTTATGTCTCGAATTAGATGATAAATTACATATATTGATTTGTTGATTCAATGATTATCGATATAGCTAATCTTTGTTGAAGTTTTTCAATAAGAATAGATAAATTGTATAAAAAAACCTCTTAATCTATTCATCATAATTCATAAATGACTATTAAAATTCATGATAACTGATCAAATATAGTCTTTCTACAATCAGAGAAATATATGGAAGTTGGTTGTTTTTTGCACAACAGTAACTCAAGTGGTAAAACAAAAAAAACATTTTCTAAATTGCAATGTTTCGTTTCAGCTTTCTTCAAATAGTTTGAAATAGATCTCAGACTTTTCATACAGAACAGAAAAGTCATAATTACTATTGATATATTTCAGTTGTACATCATTGATTTTTTAGGAAGGTCAAAACTTTTTGAAATATTTATATTGGAACTCTGTTTCATAAAGTGTTTATTTTAAGAAATGAGACAATACTAATTTTTGTGTAAAGTTTTGTGTTCTATTAAAAATATTTATGTTTAGCACGACATAATTTTTATCAATATTTTAATGTTGGGTACATCCAAACTTTCCCATATCAGTCTGAAACAGAGTACCCATAAATATGTGTGGGTACTTTTTGCTAAAATGATAAAGTACCATAGCAAAGAACTAATCCATAAAAACAAATATAATGTTGTTACTGTTGGCGTCTTATTATGAAAAATATGTTTTTCTGTAAAGACAATATGTAAGAATAGCAGATAGATACCCTGGCAGACAGATAAACACCAAAATGGTGTCCTGGCGCATTATGATGCGTTGTCTTCTATATTGACGTGTTTTAACATATTAAATGCAGAAAGCAGATAGTTAAATTCATTTGAACTTAAAGATGAGCTTGTTTTAACAGTTTCAAGTACAAAAACAAAACAAAAAAAAATAATTAGAGTAGAGTGGGGTAATTGCAAATAAAAAATCATTCTCTCGACTTGTATCCGTTATAACTCGGTCAATTTTAGGAATTTTTTTCGCTTTTTTT